CATTTGTTGTGTTTTTCTTGACAACCGAAGTCGAGAAGTAAACTAAAGCGACTTTATTTGGGTTAAAGTTAAAGTCTCAATGAGTGATCACAGGAAACATTTGTTGTGTTTTTCTTGACAACCGAAGTCGAGAAGTAAACTAAAGCGACTTTATTTGGGTTAAAGTTAAAGTTTCAATGAGTGATAACTTGTTGTGATTTTTACTCTTTGCACACGCTATTAAAAGCCTTTGTGTCCCTTGTTATTATGATGCGCTTGGTGGTTCCAGTAGGCGGAGCTTGTGTTTCTTTTGGAGGCCGCGGTAGATTTAAACCACTCTGATCAGTATGCATTTCGCTATCTGTTTTCGAAAAATTCCATTTAATGGCAAAAATATTTATGGAAAGTCAATGAAATTTCGCAGAGGTAATCCTTCGATGTCTGGAAACATTTCCCACATGAAAACGTTTTGACTTCTTAAGTGATTGTAGAAATATGAGCTAAATCATCAGCTCTTTAAAAAATCTTCATACTTCAGTTCGTTCATGTAGGCAAACTTTAGATAGCATTTAATGGCAAAGATATGCGATTTTTCAAGTTATTTTTTTCGGATCTTGCAAGTGGAACTCTAGTTCTACAAAAACCGTATGAAAACGTTTTAAGTTAAGTGCTTCTTCATGCCAGAAATAAGCGTTTTTGATGACAACTATGGCCATTTTGGCCTATTTTCTTTGTAAATGAGCGCGAGCAATCGAGCTGAACATTTGAATTTGGCGCTTTTGAGCTCATAAATGTCCCGGATGTGACGCCCCATTCTGCCCGATGTATTGTTGCAAAAGGCCTATTGGTTAATCAAGTCAACTTTATTTTCATAATATGAATCCAACCTACAAAAACCTTTATGACTACATGGATGCTTGTTGTGGTGAGAATAATACCTGTTTTATCATTTCTCTTGCATAATGGAATCCAGTTAATTTACAAACGTTGTCATGGGAAACTAAGAATTTTGCGGCCACGACGGCAAGATGCACAAGATGTTGTTCATTGAGGTAGATTACAGCATCCATGATTCCAAACATCATTTCTATTAAAGCTGATGGGACTGGCATGGGTTCTGGGCGAGACCTTTTAAACAAAAAAAAGCGTGTTAGCAGCAAAAGTATCGTAAAACAAATAATATATGTAAACTATTGGACGAGGTTGAGCAAAATATTGTGATATGTCAGTAGGGAACCAATGCCGAATGCACATAATTTTTTCCTTCTGCAACCGGTCCCCTGTAGAGAGAGATTGATATCAGTTATAAGGGCGCCATTACTTAAAAGCAAGCAGAGACATTTCCAAATGTTAAAGTGCTAGTACGATCAAATTTTCCGAATTCGATTTTTTTGCCATTTTTCGAAAGTTTGACGTGTTTTCGATATCCTTTCCAAACCGCTTTTTAATACGAAAAGTGACATACTTACTTTTTCAAATGTTTTATCTTGAGATTTTGCGTCCGCCATAAGAAAAAATTTCTTCGTATGTCCTAAAAAGTCTGTTAATGCTTATATCATTTTACTTTGTTTTTTGAAAAAGCAGTACTTAGTGGTCTGTTTTTCACTAGGTTTAGGAATTGCTAACAGTTAAATTGGGGATTCTGTTTAAACATACCTTAAACTGTGCAAAAACTGCAAAAGAGAACCTTCAGACACCAACTCTGTAATGAGGTGATACGGCTGAGCTAACGTATCGTAAGCAAACACCCTTAGTATGTTAGGGTGTGGCTTGCAATTCAGACGTCGTAGGGTGTAAGCTTCTATAACAAGTTGTTGGTGGACTTTGCTTGGACCTTTTCTTTTTTCTCTTACCAAGTCATCTAAAAAATAAGGAATTTTTGCTGCAATCATTTGAAAAATGAGCTTAACTTGTGAATATGGTCAAAATYATGAGGGGACTTTTAAATGGTTTCTCTCTCTCAGTCTCGGGTTCAGTAAACAATGAAAAACGACGTCAAATGACACATTAGTTTTGTCGATTTTGATTGGCTATTATTTTTTCTCAGATCAGCTGGATGGTAGTCCACAAAGTTTAGTTACAGCAGTTATTACTTCACCGATACTAAATTCATTGTTCTAAATCCTTAGTTACTGTTGCTAAGTCAGATAAGCTAAAATGTGTTTTTGATGCAGCATGGACTGCTGAAAATTTTCTGTCTTAGAATCAATTTATTCTATAAAGGTACATTAAGAAACTTATCGATAACTACTAAAGTATCTTATGAATTAAAGTTTGTTGGTAGGACATTCTGTATTCCATTGGGAAAACTACACATTGTTTGGTGGTCACTCGAGCATAGCCGGGATGGGTGTATTACCTTTGGTCGCTTCTATGATTTTGACTAACGCCTTTTCACCACGAAAGCTCACTGAAAAGTAGCCTTTTAGTTTGTTTTTCATCTTGAAATCTTGTGAACTCGGTAAAAGCTGCTTCTTGTACTTTTGAACCAAATAATCCATCGAATGGGTGATGGAGATATGCTCATTCATGTTTTTCATGGTAACGCCTCTTTTTCTTCTTTTTCTTTCACCAAGTTCCAAGTGATCTAAAATCACTTGGCGTAGTTCTCTGTTTGGTCCATAAAGACTGCGCTGCAAACTTTGTTGTACCATCAACTTCTCAAGTGAAATTCGTTTTGTTAAATGTTTGAAGCAGTAAATAAGACAGAGACAGGAAAGTGCACGGGTGCCTAGAATGTAAAAGAAATATTAATACATTGTATTGGAATTTTTCACTTTGACGTCACGTTATCAAAAAATATATATATTTGTTTGCTTATACAGAAAACAAAGTTTTCAGTAACATCGTTTATATAGATATTAGTAAAATATCATGCATTTCGTGTGACGTCAATGCATATGGCGTACATTCGGAGCCAAAAATCGAACTTTGCATTCTACATTGTACTTTCTGGTTTTGTGGTAGTAATATGTATTTGACCTGCAACTTTGAACACATTAAGTTTAGTTTTCATATTTTACTTTCAACATTTCTTATTCTACATGCTACTTTTGCTACTAGGATACCTTTTCGATTTGAGATGCAAATCAATATATGTAATCGATCTTAGACAATGTCTAGATCCTACATCAATATATCTAAGGGACGGACCATTACATAATTGAGGGAGGATGGGGTTGCCTAAATCCCCCCAAAAATATAGTGCAACCATTTACCTACGTAAAAAAGTATCGCGGAACCTCTCCTTTCAGTAAAGAAACATCAAACAAACACACAAAAAATTTGTTTCTATTGGTCCAGCCTTAATCATGCTTTAGCAGCTTTAAAAGCTATTTCACTGTTTCATTATTATTAATATTATTAATTATTAATTTAGCAACAGCTGATGATTATTTTAACTTTTTCAAAATTAAGGAAATTAAAAAAAAAAAGAAAAAAAAAAGAGTCTTCCTGGCATTGAGTTTATTTTGGGAAACAATGGCTGTAGGAAAACTTGAAGACTCAAAACTGACATATTTACACTACATACTTCTGTCATGGTTGTAATTTAGAATGTCCTCCAGTACATTGCCCAGAACAAGACCTGTTTGCCACTCTCCCTCGCTGGTCCATTTTCTGCAACAATCAGCATTCTGGATGACATAGTTTTCAACGAGGGACTTTAGAATTTCTCTATTTTTTGGCTTTTTATGGATCTGGTTTTTAAAAAATGAGTTCAGTTGACATAATAATGATACGATTGTGCTATGACTTTTTCATTTGTGCAGCATGCCTTGCATGCTTTGAGCAGTTTTCGTATGACTATGAAAAGCTCAGGGCGAGGCACGAACACGGTGGCGACACCATATCAACCATTTCGTATTTCGTATTTTCGTGTTGCTCTTTAAGAAAAAGGACTAGGGAAGAGAACCTCTCCTTCTCTTTCCTCCAAAGCTTCCTCGATTTTCCAAAGTTTTTGTTTCTTACTTGTCTTTTTTAATTTTATTTTCTTTTTCAAAAATGTTCATGTCGAATTCGTTATAAAACGTCGGCCTTTTCGTTTGCCGCTTTTCCGCCACAATCCAAATATGGAATTGATCATACCATATATATTCCCGAAACTCGACATGCACACGCCGTGGACACGGGCACGCAAATTTCACGGCACTGCCAGACCAATTCCATTGCGCGAGAAATAAATCCCCAATCACAATGCTAGAAAACATCCCGTCGTGGTAGGAAAGGAAATGGCACAGACTTTTTCACAAGCATACGAAAACTGATTTAAAACGTAATTGAGACAAGAATAAGAATGTCCTAGATTACCTGAGAACCCAAGCAAAACACTGCAGCATGAAAATCATACCAGCCTGTTTTGGAAGTCTTGATTCTGGAGAGGAAATYTTTAACAMTGKMATTTCTTTGGYCTTTGTTTTCTTCTCCTTTACTATTGTATTTCTTTAACCTGTGTGGTAACAATTTCTATTAGATTTCATAGTTCCTACCGGACTTAGACAATAGCGAACCGATAACCTTGTCAGCCGTTTTCCAAATGGCATAGATATCTTTTCCCACAAAAGACAAGACAGTTTTAAAGAGTACTACAAGGATTACGAGGCAATTTTATTTAATTTTCGCAGGACATCAAACAATTTATAATCATTTTTTTGTGATCAGAGTTTTAAATTATGATATATCTAATTTGTTTAGCTTTTGAAAATTAGAGGGGGGAGGGTGGTTCAAATGGGGGGAGGGTCATTATTTTTAATGCAGGCTGAAAGGGAGGGCCAGAAAGAATTGTGCATGTTTTAAGAGGAGGGCCAAATTTTTTTTGTGCATAAACATTAGGTCAAAAGAAATGTAAAAATTAAATCATTGTGTCACTAGATCAAGGTGATATTATTAGGTCTCCAAAAGGACAGTTAAATCAATTTTTTTTTGTTTATTTTATATTTGAAGCCAACAGTTTTTAGAGCTCCTAAGTAAGCAAACAAATAAACAGTTAATTTTAGACGTAATGACAACTACTGTGACAACAATACCGGGAAGTGAAATGCACCCCCCCCCCCCCCCTACCCATCTACTTTTTGACCTGTCCCTAACAACCGTAAATAAGGAGAGTTGGACCAATCAAAAATCTAATGATACTGAGTTAGACGGAGGAAGGAAGAGAGGAAGAGAGGAAGAGAGGAAGAGAGGAAGAGAGGAAGGGAGGAAGAGAGGAAGAAAGGAAGGAATAGTTAATAACAGCTATAGGTAGTATACTGACAATGACTGCTTACCGAATTAAAAACATGTGAATGCAGTTTTTCTGTTCTTCGTCCTTCTTTTTGATTAAAAAAAGCCTTGCGATTGTTTCTTTAATGCAGCATATGGCATAACGAGGCTTATCCTTTTCTGCAAAGAAGATTTGTTCTTCAAGGTCATCTAATCTTACGAGAAGAAGCTCAACATTTATGTCTATGTTTGCTAATGCAATTGTCCCTTGTACGATATTTGCATAGAGGATCATCAAACATCGACTGTACACAAAAATCCTGAGGCCCTGATCCTCAGCATTTTCATGATCAAACATACTCTTGTCGAGAAGAGAGTCTCTAAGAAATAATTCACATTTCAAAAGGAAATCATTAAACATTCCTCCTGAATCGTAGCTGGTCTTTGTTAATGTTTCTAGTATCATGTGCAGAGCGTAGCGCGTTACGACAGGACACTGCTTAACACATGAAAGCATCAAAATAATATCGAGAACGTCTTCAGTTCTTCCAGTCCTGGCTATCTTGGTCTCGAGATCAGGGAAAACAGAATGAAGCAGGAACTTGACGTGCTCTGGGTTTCGTTTGTCAACCGGAGTATCGCTGATCCACGGTAGAATTTTATGGTAGTCATTGAGAAATTCTTCCAATGTAATACCGATATCTATAATCAAAAAGAAAATATAACTGCATGAAGTTGCATGTTAGGCTAATGAAAAATATCTCAATAACCAGCAGTTGTATATTTCAAGTAAAGTGCACCCGGCGAGTATACACAGGATGACATCTAAGTGATTGTGGTTGCTACATAGAGAAGTTTTCGTATGACTTAAAAAGTCGGTGCCGTATGCGTGCCTTACCGCGATCGTGATGTTTTCTATAATTTGAATTTGGGGATTTTTTTTCTCACGCAATGTGATTGGTCTGGCAGTGCCGTGACCCTGGCGTGACCGTGTTCACGCCGTGTTCATGCCGAGTTTCATCATTTGATTTGATAGAGAGGACATTCTCGTGCAATGTGTTAGGGCTATGCATTTCAAGTGAAATGAAATCAATCAATCAATCCACCAATCAAGCAGCCTTTCCGGTCCATCGGTCAATCAATTGCTCTGTCAGCCTCATTTCTCAGAACATAACAGCCAGCGACTAATCAACATCGAATTACGACCACAGCTGTGATACACGGTGCATTTGCAGACACATAGTGCTCCCCTCTATGTCAGTTAACGTTAGGATGCATGAGCAATATTGAACAGCATCCTAGACGTAAGTTAGTTTGTGAGTATAGGCCTGTACTAACAAACATACCTGGGGGATAGAATGATATTCCTTTTAGAGGTGAAGGATTCCATGGTCCCTTGAAAGAAACTCCTGACGCTAAATAATAAATTTCTCCATAAAAAGACTCTCTTTCGTTGCTTCTGTAATTCTGGTTAACGTTCTGGCAGTAGGAAGCGTCTTGTTTTATGAATGAATAAAATAGAAAAAAATATATAAAAAGATAAAATCATAAGAGTGTCCTATATTATTATTCATTAAGTATCAGTTTACTTTCATGAATCCGTGACCATGTGTCGAAGTTTTTAAAGGCAAGAAGCCTCCGATCGTATTTGAATCAAAACCACGATGGCAATAGTAAGCCTCGCTTCGGCGCTTGCTCGTTTGTTGTTTTCATGGTTACAAAGGAGGCCATGGCTTCCAAATCCGATTCCGATTCTTTGGACCACGAAATAATGGTTCCAAGTCGAGGTTGGAGTTGATATGTTTTTACATTGATTGTGTTTTATCAAATCCAACCTTGACTTGTTTAAACCATTGTTTTGCAAAGTCACTCGAGCGAATTTGCAAAAGGTCTATATAAAAAATGAAAGAAAAAATACAAACGTATTAACCTTATTAAGACTTAGAGTGCCAGTAAAGGCCAGAGCATCAGTTATGAAAATTGTGAAAAATAAAATTTTATTTTATTTCTCCAATAGTAACCCTAAGGTTAACTATTTAAAAAAATAAGTTTCAAAAGTTCACTAGCTTTATTTTCGAAATCACTCGAATTCGATTTTTTGCCCCACAAGATGGTTCGATCTAGTTTTCAGAGTTCGCGGCACTTGAATTGAACGTCCAACCAATTTACCTATAGTGCTACACCATGGTAAATAGACCAATCAGAGTGAGTGTTGTAAAATTAGTACCAAGTTATTCGGCCTGGCCTTCCTGGGATGTTTTATCGTTGAGGCTAAAGGTTCGTTACATTCAAAATACAAACGAAAAATACAAAAGAAACAAGCAAGATTACAAAGAAAATGGTGCCTTTATATTCCGTAATATTGGATTCCGCTACAATTTGTGAACGGAAGGATTATTGGCCTTCATATTTGAACAAAAGAAGGTGGTATAAAATTGCCTCACCGGCATCTACCCCTGTTGGGTAGGGAAGGAAAAAAATGAGGGGGAAATGCCTAATAAATGCCTAAATGATAAGCTGAAAACCAATAGTAACAATATCATAAGATCAAGTAATGTTCATTTTCTTAATTTTGAAATTTTACGTGTTTTTCAGCTCATAAATTTTACCACATGCAATCCGTAAGACAGCACTGGTACATATATCCAATCCAATAATCGCCGACTCTTCATTACTATAATTTTTAAAACTTTATTTCACTAATTAAACACTACATAAAATTGAAGATTATGATCATGTAAACACAGTAAGAAAGTATGAGGTAAAAATATTAATTTTTTTAGAGGCTATGAGAAATTAAAAATTTTAAAAACTTGAGAGAAAGGCTAGCCAATTGACTAAACACAACAAAATATTTTTAGTTTTGATTCCAAATAACTTCACTGGAATTCCCTGTATAGAAACCAAAACTTTCCAAAAATACAAAATTCTATATGCCCTTTCTGACAGTGATGTTTATTTTCAAAATGCTTTTTATTTTTAAAAGTCCGCAATGTCGGCCATTATTGATTTTGTTATTGATATAACCAATGTTTTCCTCAGGATTACTGACTCATTTACTCGGGGTTAACCTCAAATCAGCATCTAAATATTCATAAATACCAACAGTAAAGTAAAGAATGCACCACTTCAACAAAACAAACACTTTGTAATTCCACGGACCTTGACTAGAACACATGAATATTCTGCACAAAATCGAGGCCAACCCTAAGCAACAGAGAAGATAAAACTGGAGCTCGAGTATTCGGTCGATGTTGTTTGGGCTTCCTGTGATGCTGCTTGTGTTCCTTTAAAAAGGAACATTTTAAGCTTTCTAGATATCACGTTCCTTCGCTGCTCATTATCTTAACTTTGTTTTATTACTCGGGCTTTCGAAGAAATGCCCGAGGTATAAATTGGGCTTCGTTATTTTTTTTCTGCAGTCAAAATCGCTCTCGAAGCCCTTAGGCGCATGCGTCAAATCAAAGTCTATGCGCATGCGTAGAATCAGCCATGAGCACATGCTTGAGTAATGGCGGATATGAGGAAGGACTCGTCGCTGTTTCAAGTAATGAATTATGGGGAGTCTAACACCCTCAACATTTTTAGCACGCGTGATTTTGCACAGACTTTGCTTCATCTAAAAGGGTGACAATGTTCACGAAGGATTCTTTCGATTTTCTGCTATGAAGCCCGAGTTCACGCAGATATGCGTCTAGTTTTTTATTAATTTGTTGTTGTTGTTATTTTTTTCCTATTTTTACTTGTTTGTAGCTTGTTTATTAATTTAATTGTTCATAGATACATTTATCAAGAGCTGCATCAGTAATATTAATGCTTGTAAGTATTAGCGGAGCCCATAGGCATAGAATATGGTAAACTATCCAACTCAGTTTTCGTGGTCATCGCATGGGAACCCTGTGCGTAACGCTAAAAGTGTCGCCCGCCAGGTGTACATCGCGTATCTGATTGGTCGAGCTTTCAAATCACAGGTCACTTGGAAAATGACGACTTTTTTTAACTAGCTTTTTAACTATTATTTTTTAGTAAATATTGTAAAAACGAAACAAAAAATTATTGAAGAAATCATGGAAAAAAGAATTCGCCACAGTGTGAAGATAGAGGTTAGGAAAGTTCCTATTTTGTTTTATTCAGTGTAGATAACATAGCTACAACATTACCGGACTAGCGTGACGAACGAGCGAAAAAGGTACTTGTTTTGTTCTTAATGGTAAGAGTATTCGTAGTTCATACATGGTATAAGATAATCATTTGAAAAAGCACTTTTTGAATTTAACAATTAAACAAATCCAAGAGATTTTTGACAAAGTTTAGAGCTAAATAACATTTCTAAAATTACCGGCAAACGAGCAACGAACTAGAATGTCAAACGTGCGAAAAAAAGTGTATCTGTTTTGTTATTATGGTAAGAGTACTTTCATTTTGAATTTCACTCAATAATTTTATATCTTTCTACAGATAATCTATATAAACATTGAATGAGTTTTAAAATCACACCAAATATTCAACTGTTTATTGAGTTTTTAGATCTAGTACATGATTATAAAAATGAGCTTAAATTTTTGTTGTTGTGAGATATGTTATTGTATAAATAACCGCTACGCGGTCGTGCGATTTTGTAATCGCGCGTTTGATTTCAGACCAAATTGCACTCCACTCAGTTCAATTACCACTTTATTATATCCACTTTGAAATCTTTTTTGAAAAAGACGTTTTTTCCAGTTAAACCGATATGACTTACAATCTACCAGCAGTCGATTCAAACATGCTGTCAAGAGAACTTGTTTATACTGATCGAGCAATGATTCTCATTTTGAAAACCAACACTTTCAATCCAAAACTAAAATGAATTTATATCGGACCAAAAGGCATTACATGTATTAAGAATCGTTTACTTACATTAAATAGCAAAACAATCCTGTCCAAAAGGGTTGTAATGAACTGGCTGATTGTCCATACAGGCAATGCTCACTGCTTGTGTTTTTACGATTTCTGTTCAACATGTAAAGATCGCACTTGTGCCGAGAAAACAGCAAAAATCAAAGGTTGTTTAGTCCTTCGGTTGTCCTTAAGAAGTCACGTAGCTCAGCAAAAATC